AAGTTTATTCTTAAATTCTGATAGGAAAATAGAACATTACCAATGACTAGATTTACTAAGGGAATGAAATTGTATGACAACTATAACTACATAATGATTGGAAGACATTTTGTGCTTTGACTAACTATAGATGAAATTACACTTCCTAGCCTGTTTTATTGGAACACAAAACACCTAAAATAATCTAAAAATAACTATATACTTTAATAAAAAGGCACTATGTAATACATTATTGAACTTAAAATGTGTAGATACCGTAACTTAAAACCCCTATAACTAAATATTAACTTTAAATATTGGATCCAAATATGAAGTCACCTTAGGCCATATTTCATCAGATGTGCGGCCTTCAAAATTTTTTAATATACCTTTACCTGCATAAAAATCAATAACGGGTTGGGTTACACTCTTGTATATTTCTAACCGCTTTTGAACAGCTTCAGGTTTGTCATCTGGTCGTTGGATCAACTCCTCGCCTGTTATATCATCTTTCCCTATAATTTTAGGTGTATTAAAACCAATATTGTACACTCTTCCTGAAGGCAAATGTACCCAACGATTCTTTACTCTCTCTACTATAACTTCAAATGGCACTACTAAATTTATAACTACATTCACTGGCTGCACTTTCCATAACGCATTTGCCTGTGTCACAGTTCTTGGGAATCCATCCAATAACCAAGGTTTGTGATTGATCTTCTTCAATTCAGTTACCATAAAATTAATAATAACATCATCGGGCACCAGTTTCCCTTCATCCAAATATTGTTTTACCTGTTTTCCAATGTCGCTTTGTTTTTCTATATGATCTCTTAATTTGTCTCCACTAGACAAATGTTCTACATTGTATTTTTTTACAATCCGAGACGATATAGTCCCTTTTCCGGATGCTGGAGCTCCAAGAATCAAAGCTTTCAATAATTTTGTCTTTATAGCCATTGTTTTCGTGGTTAAACAATTCTTCCATATAAAGTTGAACTTTGCTTGCTCATATGTACTTTACACTTCGCATCGATGAACGGACAACACATGCATTGCGTCACAAAATCAAGGTATAGTACTTTTTTTCGAACGATTACAATTACATAGTACGAATAAAATAAAACAATCAGTGAGATTTATACAATAGTTTGGCACATACCATTTCGTAAACACGGTTTTTATCATGCGGTAATGCAAATTAGAAGTACAACTTTATCAAAAAGCATAAATTATATTACGTAGCGTGTGACATATACACATATATTTTAACATGTCATATCTTTTAACACTTAAAATAAATACATTTTGTCTTAAAATAGAATCATCTTTTTAATAAGAAAACACATTAATTATACACATTTCACAAAATTCAGGTTGCTTAAAGTTCAGACTATTTTAGTTATGTCAATTGTCAATTGTCACTCAATATGTCAGAGATAGAGTAAACATGTATATATTCGTATTCGTTAAGATATTAGTAATATTAAGTAGATTCATAGATTAGTAATCCAACGGATTCCGATATGCTAATATTTCATATTCACTTCATTTATACACTGACCGTGCAACATCGGTCGTATAATATCACTCGGCTCGACTCGGCTGCTAATATTCGTGTCGCATATCTGTATTACGGCGCCTCTACACGTTGGCCAACACAGTGGCGAATGTAGTGGCCAATAGCATTGGCCAACGTGTAGACGGGGTGTTTGGGCTTCATTGGTATGTATTGGAATGATGGCCCGCAAGTTGGCGCGAGATCCGTGTGGTGCCGGTTTTTTACAATAGATCAAAGGATTGTTGGCGGAGTTTGGTCGCCGCGTCCACACGTTGGCCGCGCGTTTAGTTTGCTACAAGCTCCCAGAGTAATAACACGCATCTGATTTAAATTTTATATTCAAGCTTTGTATGGTGGATGCCCCAATTACCAGCCTTTTAGTGCCAATTTCAACTTTAAACATTTCTACTACTTTAATTAGCGCGATTTAATTATTATTGAACACTTGTTTTCTTCATCAATAAGCTATTTATCAAAAAAAAATTAACGTTTTTTTACAATCAGATTATTACGAGAACAATTTTAAAATGAAAAAAATGAAGCACGTCGTTTATACGTGGTAGAACCATGCAATTATATTAGAAGTATAGTTGCAGCACGAAGGTCGGCTCGACCGGGGAAGGACCACGCTCTCACAGAATATCAGCGTAAAATAGTAGCTTAATGATGCTGTGTTTCCTATAGTGAGTGTAGAGAACCAGAGACCCTTTTTAAAGGAAACGAGGCATTTCATCTTAGTCCTCATGGGTGACAACGCATCTGCATTTTGATTCGTAATCGAGGATAGATGTAGATGTCTGTGGGCCACAGCAACCACTTACCATCAGGTGAACTGTGTGCTCGTTTGTCACACTATCCTATAAAAAAACGTCGATTTCTTATAATTTAATCGTGCAAGATTTCGAATCATCATCATCATTACAGCTGTTCACAAGTCTACTACTGAACATCCTCCTCCACAGACTGCCGCAAAGCACGGTCCTGAGCCACTTTGCTCGTCATGAGTTTTTCATTTATGTTCTAAGTTATAATTAGTACCTTTTATTAAGGCAGTGTTAATTATATTTATTGCTATTGTTTTTGTCTTTTTCAAAAAATAATTAAATTACCAAATAAATTATAAGGTGTTTTTTATATACATCAAATTTCTGATAGAAATGCAAGTACATATTTTGCTAAACTTTAAAATCAAAACCAAATTTTAAAACATAGACAAATCGATTATAACTCCTTTAACTTTAAAATAAGTTAAGTTCTTATTAATGGTATTTATTCCAGTATATGATGCATGTAAAGAATAAATAAAGCTAATCGTATATCGTATATCTATTTACAGCCCCATTAATAACCACTATTATTTTATAATTCTTTTATAAAAACATTAACCCTACACTAGGATTTTCTCCCGTATCGCGCAGGCAGTTTACAAACATAAATTGCACAAGGACACACATCCAGACCCGAAACAATTATTTGTAGGACATACAAATACTTGTTCCGTGCGGGATCAAACCCGCGGCGCCCGGCGCAGCCACTCATTGCTGAGCCACTGCGCCACGGTGCTTATAAATTCGTCCGCACATTGGCCCGAACCGAAGTAAACTGAACTACCTTCCAACGTGTGGACGCCGTCACCAACTCTCGGCCAATATATTCGCCACTCCATTCGCCACTGTGTTGGCCAACGTGTAGAGGCGACATTATTCGTATCGTAAGTAAGGCAGTGCGAGTGAGCGAACCGAATGACCGAATGAATCCTGTATGTTCGGAAGGCGACTTTATTCGATACGCTTGTTGGCTCGCGACGTAAAATGGCGGGAATTGCAAATTTTTTGCTAACTTGCAAATTTTGCTATATTTTCACTTTGAGACAATATTTATGGATAAAACTTACAGGAATTCTTATTGAATGTATAAACTATCGAATAAAATTATTTTTAGTTGCTAGAAGTTGTAATAAAATTCATAAATTACCCTTTATAGCATAATGGTGGCCACGTTTGTCTCCAAAACCGGCCATGTTACAACTATTCCTCTTGAGGGACAAAGAACGGTTAATGCAGAATGTTATGCTAGCATTTGTTTGCCACAGATCGTTTCTGAACTCCGTAAGAACTGCAACCGTCGCATCATTCTCCATCACGACAATGCGAGTTCTCCCACTGCACACAGAACAAAAGAGTTTTTAGAGCAAGAAAACATAGAATTATTGGACCATCCGCCGTACAGCCTCGACCTAAGCCCTAATGATTTCTATACTTTCCCTAAAAGTTTGGTGGACAGAGATTTTCATCACCTGAAGAACTGTGGACGTCTACAAAACGGCCATTTTGGAGACCCCAACTTCCGAATGGAATGATTGCTTCATAGATTAGTTTCATCGTATGGAAAAACGTGTCAAAATTTCGCGGAGAATACTTCGAAAAGCAATAAATACATTTTTAAATAGTTATGTTGTGTCACTTCCTTGATTCCCGAAAATTTCAGTTTCGCCCTCGTAATTAGCTTCTCTGTCTACGTCATTACCTCAGAGTACCTGTCATTACTCTCCCCATGGAGGTTCTTTCCCTATATAATATTGTAGTCTTTGGTCATTACTCATGGCCTTTGAGCTCTTGGCGCACGTAAATGGCTGCGTTCATAAAAGTACTAAGTTCTAATATAAAGATATTGTATGAAAGAGATTGATAATGATGATGATAATGACTCAATTCTTTACTGAATGTCGAATTGAAGACTGGAGTTAACTAAACGTCGCGCGGACAGGGGCGTCCAAACCCCAGCTCTGACTGCTTAACTCGTGTCGGTCGATGATCGTAAATAATCGTACAACAAACACAAAATAGTAAATGCATCTCAGTTATATTATTTTGGTTTGTTTGTCATGCTTTGTTTAGCTAGTCTTTTCCATAGAATTTTAAAAGAAAACGAATTGAGACTAGTTAATGACGAATATATTATATAGAAAATGACGAATAATTATTCATTTATTAATGCAATATGAAATGACTTTTAGATTCACCTTCACTCCACCTCTGGTTCTGCTGACAATAAGATGTCTTATGTGTTGATGTTATTAGATAAGATCACTGACCCTTGTATATATAGAGGTCAGTGGATGAGATCCAGCATTGGTACGATTTTCAGCCAGTATGAAATTACACATTTGCCCATATTTGTGATACTACATAATGAGCTTTTATTTGTTCAATACCTACTAATTCCCGGCAGGTTACCTACTGTAAGAAATTTGCGATAAGTTGATATTTTATACTCAAGTTTTATGTCCACCGCACTCTCTAAAAAGGTCCATTCATTATTTTTTTGATATTCAATAATACATTTATTTTATAGAATGGCGCTCGTAATGTTGCCATGCGACCTCCCTTGGTGGACATCCGTACAACGACACCTAAAGCATCTTCTTTTGGCTTCATCACCTGTAAAACTAACTGCAAGCATGATGAAAATTCATGACATGTGCAAGTAAGTACCTGATTTCGTTACGTTATTACATAATTTACATGATGATGATGTAAAAAAATCTATTACTACTTTTTGACCGATAGTCCGTAAAGATGGATGATTCGATAAATTCTAAGTAGTCGTTAGTAACTAGAATGCGTTAACTGGTATTCTGGCTGAAAAGTAATGCATTTGTTGATAGAGTTGCTGACACTAAATATTAAATATTGCGTAAATTTGTTGGTGGACAGTGAGTACAATGTTGATTTTTATATTTTACTAGCTTGCCAGGTAGACGTTGTTCTGCCCTTTTCGACGACCCTTTGTCATGTCCTATTAAAAAATCCTTAAATTCGCAAAAAAACATTGTGGGTCAGTCATGGGCAAAAAATCATATCTCTCAAGTGTGACCAAACTGCACACGGTGCGCAAATTTTATTAAAATCGGTTGAGTAGTTTAGGAGTCCAACGCGGACAAACAACGTGACACGTAATTTATATAATATATTAAGATACCGACGTAGCACTTCCTATCAAGGGAAAAATTTATTTGTTCAATCTCTTATATAAATCATACTACTGTAAACTGTGAGAGATACGTTAATCATTACGTAGCTCACATTATATTCATATCCAAGTGCATAGACATACCTAGGGTATGTTCCGAAACGTTTTCAGTATACTGCCGAATACAAATGACGTCATCAATTGACACTTTGGTTGTATAACCGCCAACGTAATATTTTAATTTCAGATTTACACCAGGATCGTACAAAATATCATCATACATACCTGTTACTAGAATTTCACTTACTCCTTGTTTATTCAGATGGGAAAGGAAAAGATATTACATGTATTTGAATTTTTTTAATTTACTGCAACCCTTAGCTGAATAAGCTACGAGTATTTACTTACTTTGAAACAAAGGTTTCAAGTATACAGTGAACTTCACAAAAGCATATTATAATTCACAACGTTTAATTACCTTAAACGCACTACTCTTTACTATGAGTAAACAGCTGTAAGAATTCCATATTTTAATAGTAATAGTTTTTAACAAAAATCTTGTATTCAGTATTGGCATAGATCCAGACGACGACGTCAAAGACCCAGATCTTATGAAAGGCTTAGAAAAGTTCCTTGAAGATGAGCTGTCAGAAGAAGAACGAAGAAATTTCTTAGATAATACCATTCGAATTATGGTGAACAGAGCATTGCATCTTAAAAGATGGCGCCCTCCTAAAGGACTTATATTCAGCCTACAACAGCAAAGTGCGTATAAATTTTTAACCACATATTCATGCATTATACCAAAATTGATATATGTATACACATTTCTTGCGTCTTTCAGGTGACGTTACTGAACTGGATTACAATTTTCTGTCATCTCTGGTTGCTCATGCATTTTTCTCCACTTTCCCCAAAAGAACGCTCAAAACTCACCCGACTTTACAAGACTTCAATTTTACACAATTTTTTAAGAATTTACACAGGTAATTTGAAATATCCTGGTAAGTTAACCTCGTAAAGTTATTACTGACACTCTTCATTTAAACTTTCAGAAAATCACAAAGAAATAAATTAAAAAGTTTGCTGCATTATTTTGAATGGTTGGATAAACATAGCAATGAAGGATCTATTAAAATAAGTAGGCAGGTAAATTGTCTAATATTTTCCTCATACTTTCGGAATTTTTGTATAATAAATTAGAATTCTTTACCAAAATGAACTTTGACTTAATTATTTTTATTTATGTCTATAACAACTTTACAATGTAACTTTAAAATGTAAAAAAACTAAAATGACGACTGCCTTTATAGGTAATGAGTTCAAAACAATGGTTGACGATTGAAGATTGGCTAGAATGTACACTACCACTGTGTAAATTACTAGTGAGACACGAGGGTAGGCCCGAAAGATGTGAAAATGATGAGGCGATCAGAGTGTGTTTCGCGAGCAGTAGAGTTGGTGGTGATGCTCTTATTGATGGAGAGTCACAAGTGAGTTAAAAATGTCAAGTCTCTAAAAGATTTCCAAATCTTATAAAATACGTTTTAAATTATGTCAGAAACTAATCTTACATGATAATAGATGGTGCTGATGTTTTAGGAATCATTAACGATGTTTATGATGCCGGAACTACTACCTATTATGCTCTCAGTAGAGGCACTGGAAGACAACGAAGTGTTGAAAGCGGAAGGAGTTAGATTGTTCAGTCGGATAAGCGACAAGAAACAAAAACCTAACATAGAATTACTAAGCGAACCTAAAATAGTAAGAATTGCATTTGACAAATTCTGTTTTATATTTTATATTGCGAGAGCAAAAGTCTAATTATTTTTATTATTAACCGAGGTTCTTTACGTAGGAATATGAAATATTAATCAATTTTACTTTGTATTAAGAAAGAAAGAATCCCGTGTGGAGCGGCGTAAAAGAATGCATAATCCTAATGTGGATGTCCTAAGAGGTCACTGTGAGAAATACCAGGAAGATATAATGGATTATAATAAATAGCGGTATATGCATTCTATTTACGATAGATGTGGTAGCCTGGCTGCAGAGAACGGGTCGGTTCGACCGCGGAAGTACGACGCTCTCACATAATACTACATTGAGTTATAAAACACTAGAGGAGCAAACCACATTACCGCGCGTCGAAAAAATTGTAACCACTATCCAAACGCGACGACGTAGCTTTGAAACTAATAACAATTTTAAATAAACATATTTATCTCACTTACACAGGTTGCGAAAACAATATTGTCGTTAAGATTAGATAAAGATAGATACACAAACATGCAATGGCGGGTTAGTGTGGCTTGCTCTATGAAATTTTACCTAAAATACGCAATAAAAATAAGTTTTTTAAGCTGCAGTTAATTGTTTTCATATTAAAAAAGTATATTTTATTTTAAAATCTTTATTGCGTCCCCTTAGAAAAAAGGATACAAAGCTTATGGGATGAATAGAAGTAAACATAATGATGAAATAAAACATATTTTTATAAATATTTTTATTGTACTAATAAATCAAACAATATAAAATAGGTAATAAAATATATTTAATATAAAATTTATATGAAATTATAATTAATATGAAATTATTAATATAAAATAGGTAATAAAATATATTTAATAGACAATTCAAGAATAAACTAAAATAAGAATAATTAATTATTTTGTATGAAAGTTAAAACGTAGTTTTTATTAAAATTTCCAAAATATTTTAAAATCAGAGGTATTAAATTAACTTACTCCATTAATTATTTAGTCTCCCATTAATGTAGGATAATCACAAATGCGGAAAAGTGGCAACATTGAACCTAAATGGCAATATTCGAAAATGTAATTTTTTAATTATAGGTTTTTTACTTTTATATGAAAACAAGAACTAAAAATTATGTGTTAAAAGTTATTCCGCTTCATTTATTACGTTTTTTGACCTTGAATAGCATTCTTTCACTACGCATTTACCAATTTTTTGTCGCGGCTCAACTCTGTCGGCGTCACATTGAACACTGAACTGACGTTAGCTAGGCATATGGCTGTGGCCATATGTGCAGTGGCAACGCTTTGGCGCGGTTATTACTGATCTAGTGTAATATATAAATCAATGTAATACTAGCATAAAATAACAGTTTAATGCCCCTGGATTTCGTATGTTGAGTTGTTGAGTGTAGGTAACAAGAGATCCTTTTTATTGGAAACGAGATAGTCCTCAGGGGTGACAACACATATACATTTTGAGTCTTAGTCCAGGATACATGTAACTAAGTGACTTTGAGCCACAGTATCCATTTACTAACAGGTCATCCTTGTAGCTGCTTTTTACACTTGTAATCTAAGAGAGGGTGGTCCTTCCCTCGTCGACGTTCCCATTTGTTCTGTAATCGTTATGCAGCTGCCGCTTGGCTGTATCACGTAAGTTCACCAGAAATTAACAAGGGTTAGGTATTTCGTTCAAAGATTGGCAAGTAAAGTTTTTTAATGTTTAATGTTTAACCAGGTGACCGTATGTTTAATGGACGCCGAGGACTACAGTGCATTGCCTCTGGGACAGTGGGAAGAAGACAACATACTTCGTGAACTGAATAAAAGCCTTCTCGCTTTCCAGCAGTCGCCAATCAAAAGCCGTGACAGTCAACGACAAGAACGAAGATTGTCGCCAATTGGTTTGCCTTTTACGTAAAATGTTTACGAATAGTGATAACGTACGATTTATCTCGTAATTATTTTCGTTTGTCTTTTAAATCCATTGCAATTTGCAATTTAAACCAATACTTTTTTTTAAATATAAAAGTTTCTTATAAATATAAACTATTACGTAAATGTTTATCATTTTAAATATAAATTAAAATATTTCGAAACGAATGCTAAAAAAATTTATTCATTTAACTTTATAGCATGGTAGTCGCTCTACACTGTTTTTGACGGAACAATCAGACAACAAACTTGTGTCTGAGGTCGAGACTTTGTTAAACAAGGTCTCGGGGGGGGGGTGACTAAATCTACTCCAATTCAGTCCCCAGAAGACACAAGTTTGCGCATTAACCACTAAAAAGAATCCCTTTGTCGTATCTCCTCAGTTTAAAGGCACTTCCCTTGCTTCCTCCGCTAGCATCGGAATCCTCAGCGTCGACATATCAAATATTGTGCAGCAAATTGACCTCTAAAAAGCTTGACGTACTTAAAAACGAGACTGACTTCACGAAGATAAGGCACATTTCAGAGATGTCTCAGTGATCAACAAACTTAATACCGGAAGCAATCACCAACTTGATCGAGGAACTCTGAACGTCGATTTTACGTTTGAAAGGTCGGGATTGATAAAGTCTTCGATTCGTCCAAATCTGCTTCAAACCATAAGTGGCCCCAACGCTTCCAGCAAGAACTTGAGGAGATATGCCCTGAGACCCATGTTAGATATTGACGAGGACCTTATCAGCGTGATTAAAGATCTTAGGGGATGAGGGAAACAGATTTTGTGGCAAGCAACATATAGGTCGGAAGTCAAAGTTCTCAGATGAGACAATTCAGCTTATAAAAAGAAGGCGCAGAGTGGTTCGAATCGTCGAGGACCGAGTTCTTTCTAATCGGCTCGATTCATTGGCGCTGCGTAGGGATGTTGCATCTCTTTGCATTTTCTATCGCACCTACCACGGGAAGTGCTCTGAAGAATTGTTCGGATTAATTCCAACCACCAAATTTCACGAACGCACATCGCGTCAAAATTCACGACACCATTCACACAATCTGGATGCTTGACGGTCCACCTCCGTGCGTTTTACTAGGAGTTTTCTTCCTCCTACTACTCCGTGGAGTTGTTTACCACCGACGATTTTTCGGACCAATACGACTTAGGGACCTTCAAGAAAAGACCTCTCTTTTTAAAAAAGGCTGCGTTGCCAGCCAACAATTCCCCTGGTGTTGCGGTTGTTTATGGGCGGCGGTAGTCATTTATAACTATCAGGTGAGCCGCATGCTCATTTGCCTCCTCTTCAATAAAAAAAAGTCGACGACTCTGCTACTGCCACTTTAAAACTTTTTTCCTAATCTGGAATACTCGAGCTATATATTAGTTATGCCCAATTTAAAGCATCGAATTGAGTAGTAAAACGTTTATATACACAAAACTATTTTCTTATTTACTCGGAAAAATATTATTTTAAACATTCTCGTGATATATTTACAATTAGGTGTTTAGAATCTTCCTATACATTTACATATCTTCCTGAATAAAAATGCAATAAACTTATTTTATTAAGTATATACCTACCATAAAGAAAATGTTCAATGTTTCTCAGGTGAATCATTTAGCTACTCTCCGCCGGAGGTGGAAGCGACTGTGATGATAAAGCAGGCATCATCTTGCAGCACTATAAACAGTTACAACAGTAGGAGCCCCTCTCCACAAACCTATTGTGCCGCCACACTCAACTTGAATGATCCAAGTAAGTTGTAAGTTATGTAGCGATAAGGTAATCCGCCTTTTCAGTTCAGCGTTCACAGGATGCCGAGCCGCGCGACACGTGATGAGATATTTTCCGCTCACGCAAGAATGCTAGAAGCATTCGTTTTTTCATTCGTGTAACGAATTTATCAAAAGTCCATAGGTGAAACTGCTAGCCATCTGTTTCATTTCCCTTAGGGTATCATTAACCCACGGGATAAAATGGGGTAATGGATATTCTTACAGTGACACTACACAGTATGACACGTTTGTACTCTATATAACCATATAGATTATAATGTGTATAATGCCGCATAAATCATCACCTCAAATGACAATTAAAAACCATATTTTATAAAAACGCAAAATCTTAGGAGGCGTAGCCACTTAGTCCAATAATTAACGTGTGCGAAAAACAGAGAATGACATTGCGCGCTCACTCTCACTTGAGCGTAGTGCAGCGCAACGCACGTTTCGATAACTTTCTATTAAGCGTCGTTGATCATCCAGGAGTTTCACACTAATATATAATTAACTGAACGTGCAATATGCTTTACGGCTCTACATATTTAATCGCTGGTAAGCCAAGTTGACTTTCTACGACCGTTAACGCTAATAGGAACTATAAAAATGTATTAAAAAACTATTAAAACCAAAATTAAGACACGAGGCTGTTTCGAAATGTTTATTCAAGAGAAAAGAATTTAAAGCTTTAATTGTTCGACACACTTTGTCTTTGCACTGATTGGACAGCTAAAACCAGATAATTTATTCACTAAGACATTAGTTTAGTAATAAAAGCTTACGATTTATTTGCACTTATAACATTCTAAAAATGATATAAAATGCTTTATGAAACAAATACACAAGAAGAGGGAGTATAAAAATGCCTATGGTGAAATTTTGTTGGACGCCGACCAAGTTCATGTATTTAAGAAAAACCAAATTTAAAAAAAAATTGACGACGATAAGTTATTCAAATCTTCAAGATCAACAAAACATTTGTTCACAAAGTAAAAGATTACGATTTTAGATGGCTAAGTGCAATATTACATAAAATATCTAAGATTTATTTGGACTGATTTTTATTATTGGTGCAGTGCGGTCGTATCTTATTATAGATAATGTAACTCTGGAAACAGGACGCGGAGTAGCGCGTCTCTGCAATCTGCAAACTTGTAGCGACATTATCGTGTAAGCTCCTTGTGTGAAAGCGGTTATTATAAATACGATATTTGTTAATTAAGCATTATTAGCCGATGGGCCTTATTACCCGCAGGTACCTATGACCCTACGAGTCAATCTATGGGGTCCACTGTAATCTATATACCTAGGCCCTGAGCAGTATATAGATCTTTTATTTTTAGCAGTATGTTCAATAGGCTGTGATAATAATAATGATGATGAAATATGTTGTTAATACCACTCATTTAAGGGTTAAAGCATGGAATAGTTGCTTCAATGCGTTTTCTTAAGGCAGAGACGTTTCTTCGCCGTCTAAGATGCCGCATTATACATCACCTCAAATGGCAATTAACAATTTCTGTGGTAGGTACCTGCGGGAATCGAACTTAGGCACAGTTTAGCTGCTATAAACGGTCAGCAGTCAGCCTTTGATTACATAAAGTTCCTGAATTCTGTTTGTATGCTAGCCTGGCCTTATTTCGAAAGATATTCTAACTTGGGTTTTTTTTCACTGAAACATACCTATTTTGTAGCACTTTGTTTCACAAGAATGGAGAATACACATGGCATTTTAACAAAATTTTTTTAGCTAGCCTACAATGAAAATATAAGCAAAAGATATTATTGTAAATTGTCAGCCAAATTGTCAAATTTGTTAGAACTTGAAACATAAAGATCGCCAAGCATCTTGTGGCCATCAGGCTTAACTCATCATTTTTAAGGAATCAACGTTATTATTATTTGATCTAGAGATAATCGATATTTTTCAGGTGTAGAACTAACGAAACGAAAATGTTGGTTATCACCCGATGGAGGAACTTTGAATAATCGTCGGGGAAGGTTTATCGTCCTTGGGTCTTCTGGCGAATGCCTTCCTGTAACCAGAAGTCCAGGTCTCATCAACCTGGACACGCAAGAAGACAGTCTTTACTCTAGTTGCAATTCTAGTGACGATGAATACCACAGTGCCAACGATAGTTTTGATTACGGTGAGTTCTTAATTGATAATTATGTAACACTTGTCTTTTTCAGGCATCAACATACGTCATAAGGCTATGAGCTTATTACTTCAATGACACTAAAGCCAAGATGAAGTAAATAAGGGTAATTCTAAATATTTTAGTTGCACCATGTAGCGGCTAAGTAATGGAAGTAGTTACGAAAAAATCTGAAATACATACACAACGAACTTTATATATATATATATATATATATATATATATATATATATATATATATATATATATATATAACTTTTAAATATTGCGTGTCTTATTTTATGAAATAGATCCTGATACCAAATATAATTAAAGTCACACTCATATAAATACTGTCATTCTTGTGTCAGAGTTAAAACCCTCTCGAGAATCGACTATCCTTTTAGGTTACTTTATGAAATTCTGTAAGAAACTTTCTATAATAAAATTCAGACCTCAAAAACCACCGTTGTACATAGGCCATAACGAAAGGGTGCCGCAAAGAACGGACCTGAAGCACTTTTCCAAGATACCTCTCTTAAGATCTTACTTGATTTGTATATGTCCTGCAGACCGTATTTCGGTCAGCGGCGGTCAGGCTTAACGGATACTAGCCATTAGTATAATTGCCGACATAAGTCGTGAGCACACTTTTTATTGGTCGATAAGACGTTGACCACGCTGACGTTCAACGTGATTGATTCATCAGTCGATTCTCGTCATCTATTGGTTTCGAACGTATCATTCGGATTTCGTGCACTTCAGAGCAATAATTTTAGTGATAACTTTTTTAATTAGTTTATTATCGTAAATTGTTTTTGTTACCTCGTTGTTATTTCTTTTTGTGTATTCCTTGTTATTAATTGTTTTTGTTATTTCTTGTTTTTAATTATTTTTGTTGTTATAATTTGAGTGTTCAGATTTTGGTCTAAATATGCAGAGAAGGAAGAATTCGCTGTAAAATTGACAATCCCGACAAATGGTCTATTCAGTGTTTAGTTACATGGAAAAATTAGGTACCGCAAAAAACATCATAGACGTATATAAACAGACTGCTTAGGCGACTAATGTCTCAGTAGCTACTGTACGGCGCACCACAACACCAGATTTTATTGAAGGCATGTCACCTCTTCCCTCTTCTTAATAAAATAACCAATTTTAACCACCAGGTATACATTAAATACTTTATAGTAGATAATAAAATAACGGACACGAATATCTGCAACATTACTGTATCAAAGTAAAAGTTGATGTGTTCGAGTAAACATTTTCATAAAAGTCTGCGAAAATATTGAATTACGAATTGAAATAATAAAGGTACCCAATAATTTTGCCCGACAGTGTACCTACCTCCCACCACAGTTTATCTGTGCTCACGATTCGTGTCGGCAACTATACAGAAGTGCTGTGCACGAATGTGTGCGAAAATAAGTGTACTCTCTATCCCCTCACTCTTGTTGTCCGATGGGACAGAAATCCGACAAGACAAAAGAGATATTCGGCGCAGGACAAACCGGCTTTATGTGCTCTCTAAGGCACGGGGGTAAAAACATCCTGACTCCGGGCTGTTACTGAGAATTTCTTGACAGAGAAACGCAATAACTGATTTTTTCCCGACCCGTGACTTCACATCATCGGCAGTCGCGCCAATGACCATTGATCTAGTGCTCGCACGCGCGAAAGTCAGATAAGATATAATATATGGCCGCCGCTTTGTCAACCCTAAAAATTCAAATCAAATAATTTATTTGTAAAACATAGGTAAAAAGTTAAAAAATTAGTGGAAAAGGTACAATAAGTAACACTATGTTTCGCCTTAAAAGGCGTACAAATATTTGGTTATAATTATCACCTGGCAATATGAAAATAAAGTTTTAATAAAATAACAATTTCAATTGTAATTAGTAAGTTTAGAAATTACATAAATTATTATCTTAATTATCCATTACATAATTCTTAATAACATAAAGATAGAAATATAATAAATAAATCGCACATTAATTATTGTAGATACTAAAAACCATTCATTTTATCTTCAAAATATTTGTTGATAGAGTAGTATGCTTTATTTATTAAAAAAACCCGAAAGCAATTTCTTAAATATGTCTATATTATCAGTTTCTTTGAAGTTTTTTGGGAGTTTATTAAAAATTTTAGGAGCCATACCCAGGAAACTTTTTGAATACAGGGCTGTTTTATGAAGTTTTATACGTAGTTTGTTCCTACCCTTTATTATTAGCGTTTTCAAATATGCTAAAATGATTCCTTACAAACATAGCTACTTCGAATATAATATATAAAGATGGTAAGGTCAGAATGTTTAGATCAAACCAAGTCCAATGCTTTGTTTCTACTGTGAATAGCGCGTTATTATTTTTTTTTATTTCTATTAGTTGTTTACATAACACCTATGGTATGAATATACGATCCACGCATTCTATGTTGGCCGGACTGAAGTTGGCTTTCCAAGACATTCGCGCATGTACAAACACTAGTCGATAGAGATGTGCTACTTCATATTCGCTCCAAGATTGTTTAGGGAAACAGTTTGTTTTGTGTATATCGATTATAGAAAATTATTATTGTAGTGAAAATATTTCTGTGTACTTATTTTAATAAATCAATAGATTCTAATAAAGAATTTCTATAAACAATTTGAATATACTGCACGATAATATGGACATGTTCTTTCAGTAAACCCAAAATAATATAATTAATAAAATTTAAAATTTAATTTTAAAATAAAATCTTTAATGCACATCATCTTCACTGTATTTAAAATAACATAAAAATCTAAAATACAATCGAATCATAATCAATAATAACGATAATCGATTATTTACGTAATTATAACCGCTCAATATGTTTTAGTTACAGTCCACTTCCCCGCTCCTCTTGTCACCATTTTGTTCCTAAAAACGATCTGCGCAGCCACTCACGATTAACTTCAGCTCAGCCAAGATATAACGCGCGAACTTTACTTGTTAATTATAAAAAATTGAGAGAAATAATGATTTCTTAAATTTACGCGAAAACACTACATACTACAAACACTACACATTGAATAAAACTATATTTACGAATTTTATCGCGTTTAATCAACTATATTTAACTTAGTTTTTAATTCCCGACGTTTCGGATGCTTTACAGCACCCATGGTCACGGGGTGGGAGACTGAGATGTTTGACGTCCCAATGTCATAGTTAGTCTGGCTACCTTCAGTTTTTGAATATTAATTTTTGCGTAAATCGGACAAAAAAAATATATTCAAAAACTGAAGAAACTAAGTTCGGCTACCATCACCTGACCGAAACGTCGGGAATTAAAAACTAAGTTAAAATAGTTGATTAAACGCGATAAAATCCGTAAGTTTTAATCAATTGAGGGAAATTCCTAAACCATATCTTTAAGTATAGTACCACTTCCAGATTTCTGAAACCTTTCAAGTTTTTTTTAATTTTTAAAATAGGCGACAACGTTAATTGGAACATCTAGGGTTACATATTTAATAATACTCGAAGTTGTAACCCAGAACCAGAATCCTGAGGTGCGAACTAGTCAATTCGAGGAAGCCAATGACAACATTTACATTTAGTTAATGGGGGGATAAACTATTTTAATAGCTTTCGTTTATTAAAGGTGGCAGTGAAGACGAAGGCCGAGGTGAGAGCGCACGTCCATATTCATTTCAATATTCCAAAGAATTATCAACTGAGGAAAGAAGGCAGAGTTTTGCAGAGAGACTCCGCGAGGCATTGCGCAGAGAGGCGGAGAATTCCTGCACCACGAGCACTACCGGCGACTGGTCCACAGACAGTTCTAGTTACGTTGCAGGAGTTAGTATACCTTGCGTTGAAGCCAACGGAAACGAAGTCAGGTAAGTAAATAAGTTTTCACACGCCCATACTCACCCCGCATTCTTGGCACACGACATAACAGTAAAAATAGCTGCACTGGTCCAGTACACGTTCACCAACTTCACTCGATTTTCTTTATTTCTCAAACATGCATGTTGTGCATGCTAGAGAAATAAAGAAAATCGAGATCATTGCAAACGCAAACGTTTACAAGTTGCTTGCGTATTATGAAATCTTATGGCGGCTTCTCACTGCGTGTGTTATAACTTGCCGCGCCGCGCTCGCACCGTTTAAAATCGGTAACTTGAAAGGCGCGGCGTGGCGCGGCGCGGGTTCGCGCGTATGTGCGCGGGCGCGCGCGGCGCGGCGTGTGCTTACAAGATTGAACTCGTTCATTTCGTTTTAACTCCTCCGACGTTGAGGTACTCTCATGTCTATATAGATATGGAGCGGTCTAATGAGACGATTGTTGAATTTTTAATTTTAACGACGTCATCCACCAGCGCCTTTTCTTCTTTTGTTTTTGTTAATTTTATAAGTAAATGATATCCACAAAATAAGACAAAAGCGGCTAAAGCATAGCGATGCCTTCTTCTTCAGTGGCATTGCTCGATAGCTGGAGGTGGCAATTCGACTCACACGACATCAGGTGCGCTGCGCTAAACAGACTGACTCAGTGGCTCGGAGTTTGGGCAAGCACGCGCCACGCCGCGCCAGTTAAAATGGGTGGGGGGTTTGTCAACGGGACACACGCAGTGAGAAGCCGCCATTAGACGAGCGCCCTGTACTTGAGCATAGTGTAAACTTGCACCTATCTCTGAAGTGTAGTGGCGGTGTAAGAATATCCACTACGTCATTTCGTCCCGTGGGTGTCGTAGTTGGCAACAGAGGGTAACAAATTAAATAGGCAGCAGCGTTTTATAAATAACAACACGAAATAACAAAAACCTGCAGTGGCCAACACACCTGCCAAGTGTGGCAAATATGATGAATCCCCCCCTCTGAGGCAATCTGTGGGGGCCTATGTTCAGGAGCAAAATTTTGATAGGCTGTAACAGTATCCCTAAAGTTTGAAGTGAAGTTTGAAGCGAAGTTTTAAGTGTAAAAGAGTTATTACCATCTTAGGTTTTATGAGTGCCAAGATGCCCAGTTCTCAGTTACGTAATACTATTATTTATTATGTTTTTAGTTCAGTTTAAGAATTATTCAAATATTCAAACACTTTTGTATGTACAAAGAGTGAAACGTGGCAGTTCCGTGGGATTCGTATTGACCGACAAAGAAATTGTGGACAACGGAAATATATCCCCGAGCCGTTCGCCGCTAGAGAGGAAACAAACTGGCAATAGCTCTAAATACAGTTTCAGCACAGAATACACGTAAGTTTAAATAATATATTTGTTAAAAGTAATATGTATGTGACAGTATTATAACAGTGGTAGGGCCACGCGGCAGCTTTTGCTATTGCTCGTATGGGCCGGCTCGTACCGAGGTGGTACAACGACCTCACAGGAGACCAGCGTGAAGTAGAAGCTCTGCTTTTCGTCTGGTGAGTGCAGGTGGAGACCCAATTCCTCCCCCCTTAATATGGTCACTGAGTTAAACCAAATACTACCCCAAGAGGGTACCAGCACCCATGGTGACGGAGAATTTGACGGGAAATTATACAATTGGATCACCAGTTTTCTTGTAGATCGGAGCATCAAGGTCGTAGTAGACGGTGCATGCTCCGATTACAAGCCCATAAGATGTTACTTCTGCATATCAATGATATGTCGCAAACCGGTAACATTCATTGCTTAAAAAAAACGAGTCATCAATGTTTGTCGCAAGACAAACTGAATAGCACTGTACCTTAACCATAGAATACTATAATACACAATAGAATGGCTGTCAACCTTATTTTGTACGAGGATAGGCGTCGCCGGGAGCACACATACAAGCAATTACGTCGTATTATCGGTTAATCACTACTACAAACCCGATTCGCTGTGTAGACAGACGGATTTTAATACATATTGATTTGTAAATAGCGTGCAATTTGGCATTTTCTAAATAATTTGCATACGAAATTCGGAAACGATTGTAACGTCAAAACACATCTGGTGTTGAGATTTATACGTGTGAAATGACGTATTAGTGACATTTTAGTGGCTACACGGGCTCCACCCACACACCCATTTTATTATGTATGTATGTATAATAGTATTCTATGATCTTAACTGTATGTATCTTCCAATTTATGCACGACATCGCGCAAGCTCCCGATGGCTGTTAATAGCAATTTTCGGTGAAAACAGGCTGTCGAGATTTCAATTCTCGTCTCGCTTCGCCGGTGGAAAAGCAGCTTAATTACTAAAATTATTTTTATTACAGTTCTGAATTAGAAGAAGTATACGAGCAGTTCAATCAATGGTTAAACGATCCTATTGTCGATAATTCTGTTGAAGAAAATAAAACTCGCGAATTAGATCCCCGAGATTTAGCCGTGATAAGGTATGTAGGCCCTTAATTTATTTTTCTTGTGTATATTATGTAACGCAGGCTATATAAGTCTAGGTCCATAATTAGCATAGACTAATTTCAAAAGGATTCATTATAATGAACTAACGACCCGTCCCGTCCTCGTCTGTTTCGAATCTATTAATGTGGCATTATTTAGATTTAAAAAAAGCATCAAAGACCATTTAAGTATTTTATAAATTCTTCGATTTATTAAATAAAAACCTCCAAGTTTTTCGGGTAAAATATAGCCTAGATAACTCCAAGTACTGCTCTCTATATTATGTTAATGATGTTTCACCACAATAGGTTGAGCCATTTCGAAAATAAGCGCGGACGGAAAGACCGACAAATTTTAAAATGGTTATTCATGTCTTAATAGCATACAAATTACCCAAGCGCTTATATAACAGACACTTTAATTTTATTTTATGTAACATAGATTAAAAAGCCAATAAAAATCCCGATATAGCAAACAAACACTTCAATTTAACTTATATGTGTGGCCGTGGAAGGAAAAGGGGGGATGCCCGCCGGGCAAGGTGTTCTGTGGAGTCATATAGTTCGGAGATGTTCTATACTGTTTATGATTCGGAATTTTGATAGCGAGATTTAGGCTTCGGTGTGTTTCGCTTGCGGCGCGACGACAGCGCCGCCATATATGTACACATGTACATAAATTAAAAAGCAAATAAAACGCAGATTCGCGGGCTCGCTGCTAAAGCGCACGCTGAGCGAGTCGATGGCGAGCGGCGGCGGCGCGGAGGCTGCGGAGCTGTACGGGCGGGACGGCCGCGAGCGCGCCACGCCGCGCCGCCTCGCGCTCGCCGCCCGCTCGCTGTCGCTCGAGCTCGCGCGACATCGCCACCGCCTCGCCGCACATTTGGTAACTATTACAAGCACTTATGAAAGTATAGTTCTTGCAATTCACTAAAACGAGCGGGTCACACTCGTAGTCACATGTACACGGCAAGTTCCGATAGTGTGCGTGTCTGACGGACCGATCAGTCGCGAGTGTGCCGTCGCTAACCACACCCGCTTTGGGTGTCACGCATACTTTGACACGTACCTATAGAGATCTCGTACGTGCTTACCAGAAGTAAAGCCCACTCGACTTCGCAAAAACTACGAGGTGCGTTCAGAAAATAACGAGATTTTTTAAATTTCGCGGGTTTTGAGAAGTCCGATTGTCAATTTTTTTTTATTATGTTGGTATACATGCCCCCTAAGTATTACAAAATATTTAGCTGTAATATTATTCATTCTGTACTTTATATCAAATTTTGCGTAAAAATTAAATACAGTGTAAGAAAGTGTGTGACATGCCTATGGTAATTCTGCTATGAGTAAAACAAGAGTTTACAAGTGGGATAAGCGTTTCTAAGATGGCCGTAAAGACGACAACCGATGAAAACATGGCAAAAGTGAAAGAAGTGGTTATGAACGATCGCCGAATCACCATAAGAGAAGTCGCTGATGATGTTGGCGTATCGATTGGCTCATGCTATGAAGTTTTTCAAATGTTAAAAACAGCGGCGAATGGTAGTTGCTCAGGAGTCAGTACGAAGTCAACGACGATGCAGAAGTACTTAAACGTGGTACAAGGTGTCTCAAAAGAAAGTTCACATTTAAATCTTTTTTTTAAAAGAAAAGTCTTAGCTTTATTGAAAAAATGTTTATTTTATATTGAAGTACACTGTTTGGGAATTTATTTTTTAAAAATAACATTGTCCAAATGTAAACCGTTGCGCTCTCGGCATTCATTTAGTCGGGCACTAAAATTGCCTATGACAGCTCGGCAGGTAGTCTCCGTGATGGCTGCCATTTCATGACGGATATTTTCTTTTAATTGTGCCAGGGAAGTCGGTTTATTAGCGTAAACTTTTGATTTGACATAACCCCACAGGAAAAAATCCATAGGCGTTAAATCGGGACTCCGTGGAGGCCAATTTATGTCACCTCGCCAGGAGATTAATTTGTTCGGAAAAATTTCTCGAACTCGAGGCAGAGATCTGTTGGACGTGTGTGAAGTTGCTCCATCCTGCTGGAACCATGTTCTTTGGTTGTAACCAGGAAAGTTTTGCAGTTGGGGTACGAAAAACTCGTCTAACATCTCCACATAACGCTCTGAATTCACTGTGAGTGTGCGTCCCCTTCCATCTTCAAAAAAGTAAGGGCCGATAATTCCTCGCGCCGACATCGCTGCCCATACGGTGACTTTGGGTGAATGTAGCGGTTTCTGATGTTTTTGTTTTGGGTTGGTTGCACTCCAGTAACGACAATTTTGCTTGTTTACATGCCCATTCAGGTGTAAATGGGCTTCATCGGAAAACAAGATGTTGGTGAACGTTGGAAAGCGCTCAATCATCTGATTTACAAAGGCAAGCCTCTGACCAGCATCTTGAGGTTTCAGTTCTTGCACTAACTGAATTTTGTACGGGTGCAGCTTTAAATCTTTGTGTAAAATGCGGCATAATGAAGATCTGTGCACATTTAAAGCAACAGCACGCTTCCGAATCGAGAGGTTTGGATCATCTCGAATAGACTGAGTAACACTGTCCACGTTTTCGGCTGTTCTTGATGTTCTTGGTCGCCCAGATTTTGGTTTCTCCAGAGTTGACCCAGTCTCTTCAAACTTCTCAACCCATTTTGCAATGAGACGAGTGCTAGGCGCATCATTTAAGTGACGAATATGTCGAATACTGCAGAATTTTCTACGCGCTACAGTCGCCGAATTACCGTTTTTGTAAAACTCACGTACGCACAACGCACGGTCCGCACCAGAGAAACGCTCCATAGCGACTAAATTCCCAAGAGCCAGACTACCGACTGACATACCCCCCCGCGCCCCTCAGAATAGTTGCTTTCGCGTAATAAGATAAGCAAATGTGAACTTACTTTTGAGACACCTAGTATAACATGTGACGAAACATCGGTTTATATGACGTCGAAACTAAGGTTCGTTTCGACGTCATATATATAAACCCATCGTCTCAGTGTAGACCTGTCATCCCAGTGGAGACATGCTGGGCTCGCCAAGACGGAAAAGGCTTGACAAATGCGGTCGAACGTGAAGGTTATGCTCACTGTGAACTGATTCTTCGATTTTAATAGCAAAGTGCATCATGAATTCTTGCCACGAGATCAAACGGTCAATAAGGAGTACTACCTACATGTTCAACTTTTGCGGGAAGCAATCCGAAAAAATGCTCGGATTTGTGGAAAAACAATTCTTGGTTTTTGCATCACGATAATGCACCTGCTTGTATTTCATTGCTTGTTCGTCAGTTTTTGGCCAAAAATAATAATATAACGATGCCCTAACCTCCAGACTATTCGCCAGGCTCCCTGTGACTTTTCCTTTTTCCAAATATAGAGAGAAAAGGTTCTCTTTAACTACTACTAACGACGACCCTATAAGGATAGGGTCATCGTTTAACACGCATATTTGACATTAAACGCGCATCGCTGAAAGAGCTAAAGGGTAAGATCGAGTTTGACACGTGTTTCGAGGATTGGAAGAAGCGATGGCACGTGCATAATATCAAATAGGAACTATTTTCCTATTATTATTTATATTTAAATAAATATTTTTTTCAAAAAACGAAACTTCCCGTTATTCTCTTAACACACCTCGTACTTACAAAACTTGCTTCACGGACGCTTAACGATGAATACATACTGTTTAATAATTTTCCTTTAGGATTTTGTTGCCATCGTCTCTTTATTCTGAGATCATTCACAGCTCTTCACAATTTTCAAAACTCTACTGCTGAACATAGGCCTTCCACAAAGAATACCTCAAATACTATCCTGAGCTACCTGCATGTCTTACCAGGACGCTACCATGCTAGCTAGCCATGGTATTGGTAATTTGAGAGTAAAGGCAGACCAACACAAGGGCGCCCACTTCTATTTATTCAATATTCATTTCATCAAAGTTAAATAATGGGTTTCCTCTTCCGGTCACCTTTTTTCATTGGGAAATACCTATGCATATTCGCCAGCGGTGTATGTCGGACTCGCATCAACTTATCCGTGTTCCACTTCCGTCGCATACCGGCAGAGCCACAGAAGAGCTTTCACACACGTCCTAACCTCTCAAATGCCGGCTTCTTATACCTTCTTAAGAAAGGCGCATCGGCATACAAAGCGCGCTTTCCTTGACGACTTCCAACTGCTGCCAAATGCACACTGCTGAAGTCCCCATAGAACATTGTTATCACCTTCATTAACAAACATTAGCTCTGTACTTTAATACTAGTTTAAGAATCCGGTGAGGGAATATAATTAAATATATACTAATCAAAGCTCTCCAGTTGCTTATTAATTATGAAATGCTAACAATAATAACACATGGAACGTGTTTCCAATAATTCATATAGGCACGCTTACCTGACAAAGGATTGTATACAGGTGTTTACAACTAATGTTTATGTATATAATATGTTGTAGATTTCCTATATATACAACATGTAACAAAAACCCTGTGGTTTCCGTTAAGTCAGTATTATCAAAATCAGTATCCAAGCGTATAGAAATAATTTTTTTTTTTCAAAAAAACTCATTTAATAAAATTAATTTTAATGAAAAAAAATAATTTGCAAATTGTATGTGGTTTTATTTCCTCTAACTCACACGAGTATCGGTAATGCGGGGTCTTTGACAATCCTCTTACTCCTCGGCCAATGCAGAGATAATAAAACGACATACAATTTGCAAATTAATCTTTTTTCATTAATTTTTTTTAAATGTTTTTTTTTAATATTATTTCTATATGCTTAGATACTGATTCCGATGACGCAGTTAACGGGAACCACAGGGTTTTTGTTACATGTTGTATATGTTTCTATTATATTCCATGTAAGTAAAAGCTTTTGCGGTGTAACCGCGTAATGTAGTTATTAAACGAATTAGCAGACGCCTGCCAATATTGCATACTTTTATTTTATGCAGGTTCAGTATAATAAATGTATAAAAATATCCAATAGGATATTATATGCGAGTGAATACTCACTTTCATTGCACACGTAAGAGCATAAAGTTCGCCAAGTCTAATAAAATCCAATACAATATTTACTATTATTTTGACAGAGACATAAAATAAGACAGTCAATACCAGAAGAGATATTAGAGAGCACGCGGGAAGAAAACACAAATGGCGACAAATATTCTGACTCGAATGAATCAAAATCACTCGGATCTTCTACAGAGACATGTTCAACGCAGTTATCTAGCCCTAATGTTAAAAAGAAAAAACTTAATTGGGTAGTAAACATGATAGTAGAGACTATTGAAGAGACAGTCGAATGCGAACCCGTTACCGTTCCTATAAAGAGACCGAAGGTTAGCAACGCGTCTGTCTATAGCTAATGAACTTATAACGTGTTTTTCTTAATACTAACTGGCACTATTATCTGGAACACTTGAATAGGCTTGTCTTTTATATTAGGTATATAATTTGTAACAAGGATTGTCAGTACATATATTTACGATTAACTCGAAATAATCTAGCTACTTCTTATTTTAATGTTCGTTATCAAAAAGTTAACTCACAATAATAGGTATTGAAAATCTATTTTTCAGTTTCTTATGTTAGTTAGTCTAATCCAAAGCTAGATAATCCTACACGTTATGAACATATTAATCTCTGCGCTAGATATACTTATGTGTAATTTCTAAAAGGCGTGTTTTGTCATTTGCTTGATATTTGCAATTTTGATTATCCATATATTGCGGCCATGTACAGAATTCAAAGTTTTTTTTTAATTTACTGTACCAATTTTATTTTTTTAATACTTAATGGTAGCAATAATACAAGACAATAATGAATAATGAATAATCATGAGCCGTTATAAATGAACGATCATTCGTAGTTTGAATTAATAGATTGGCTAACATCATAACACCCCGTTATCGATGCTCAAGTGTTTTGAAACAAATATAACAATAAATATAAATGCCCTCTCGTAAAAATGTGTGACCATTCCAAATACTAACCTACGTAATATTCAACATCTCATTAAAATTAAAATCCTGGAAAAGTACTTAACCAGTTTCATGTTCGAAGTTTATTCATTTACCTATATAAATCACGACTCCGGCCAATTATTGCACAACCCTGTCCTGACAAACCAATAATTGTTATAATAAACATAGTTAGTGGATTTACATTGAATAAGTATATTTCCAGTTAAATCAACTGGCCCACAAAATTGTGACGGGCGGCTCATGTAGGCCGGTTGCGACTGGCAATTGGGGTTGCGGCCGAAGGCAACGAGGTCATCCACAACTTAAACTCCTGCTTCAATGGCTGGCAGCAAGCGTAGCGGGAGTACCCGCTTTAATTTACTACACATTCGGAAATGAGAAATTATTTAAGGTATGTGTAAATTGAAGACCTTTTGCTTTATGGTCGGAGGCCCAGAGTTCAAATCCTAGCTGGAGTTAAAATTTGTGTCCTTGTATCTCTGACACTACAACCTATCTTATCGTATAAGAGACACATCAGATACAATCTTAGTCGTCAGTGGTGACAAAGCATTCGAATTTTGTTTCTTAATCGAAGACTGACGAAGTTATCTATGGGCCACAACATTTATTTACCGTCAGGTGGAAAGTGTGCTCGTTATTATACTATATATATATATATATTATATTATATATATATATATTTTTATATATATATATTGTGCAATTCAGCAATAACTTATAACACAACACTAACAACTCTATATAAATCTCTCATCCCAATAATCTCCCAAGCACTTCTGATTTTTTAAAAAATCTGACAACTTTAGCAAGTCTAGAATTCCCGTTAACCTGATAATGGTTATTCTAGCAGTTCACGACAGTAGTCAAGTAGTGATAAGAACAACATACGTAAACGTACCTACTTTCTCTGTCGCGTATCTATGTCAGACAGTATACGTGCATGCGTCGTGTACACTGTATTAATACGTAACATAGTAAATTGGCTACCACCAGCGATTTTTCCGAACCGATACGACTTAGGGACCTTCAAGAAAAGAGCCTACTCTTTTTTAAAAGGCCGACAACGCATCTGCAATTCCCTCGGTGTTTCAGATGTTCATGGACGGCGGTCAGCATCGGATGAGCCGCATGTTCGTTTGTCTACTCTCATTTAAAAAAAAATAGGGCCAGTGAAAGTTGGGTATTATACTGTAAATTAGCTGAACACTTTAAATATTAATTTAATATTAATAAGTCCTTTATTAATATTCATGTTATTTATACGTTTCTTTTTTTAATAAGACAGTTTCTAAATTCTCAATATTTTTCTACACAGCTGGATACTTTAGTAAGAGTACTTGTGGACAGGAAGTGGACAGTGGGGCAGTTAACGCGAGCGGTCTTGAAGTACGCGCGTCAAATTCTTCACGAGCCCCACGTCATCCCGGAAAACCATTCACTCTTCGACGAATTGATCGGCATCGAAAAAATACCGGACGACTTCTAATCTTGACATAGCTACGATTTAAGCAGTGACATTGCAAAAATTGGCGACAGTGATACCAAAGAGACGCTATTATGATATAAATATTGTATGAATGATTATGTACTTACAGATGGATGTTTCATATTTGAAGAAAATTTGAGCGAAACATATTGGCAATATTATAGTGATATGTATTAATTTTATTTGCATTCTTGTTCGTACTCGAATATACTCAAAGCAGTATTACCACTGTGTAAATGATGACCATAGATTATATAGTATTATCTATATGTAGAATTATATAGATTATATACAGGAATATTTTTCAATATTTGCGAAACTTATTGTAAAAAATAGTATAGGCGAATGGGGAAGAATATTATTTAAAAAAAAAGGATCTCAAACATTCTGTCCTTTTTATCTTTTAAGTTCAGAATGTTAACTGATTGTCATTCATAAATATCTAACGCCTACTATTTTACTACGCACGCACACATTTGTAAGGAACGCTCGGTCGGCAAAAACGTGAATTGAATCTCACACAGAGCAGCGCGTGTGTGATGTACACGTAAGTTGTTGTTGCCCATAAATCACATTTAATTTGTGATAATTTCAAATAAAAGTATAAAAAATATACTCGTATTTTCAAAAACTGCAATAACGGTATATCAATATTTATACTGATTGATCTTTTTTATCGTCTGAAAAAAATGAGATATAACAGGTGAACGGAATAGAAGCCTATAGCACTGATATTTTACATTTTTTTTTCTTTTACATTTACATATTATGAAATTGATCTACCAATAAATACTACTAATTGGGTACACCCATTGTTTTTTCCAGACGGTAAAAAAGATCACCCAATATATTAGAACTTAAATACAAAAATTTGTATACTCTTTGAAAAATAACCCTGTATAGAATAGATATAAGAATTCTAACAATCGGAAACATTTATTATATTATAGTCATTAGTTTCAACAAGTCTCAACATACTTCTACAAATATGAAACACTACATTTGACAAATATAACGATTATTAAACTCAAACAAGTTGTGTAGTTATTCGTATATCTTATATTGATCCAACGTTAATCATTTTCAGTATGAAATGTGATTTCGGCAGCTGTGTCTTATTTACTTAATATTAATGCAATTTTTAAATAGCCTTTATAACATAGTTACACAAAAGCAATATTATAATTCGAAGTACGATTAAACAGACTTATCGAAATATTTTTGTACAAAATTACCAGTACAACTGTAATAAAAATGTTTATAATGGTAGGGTTTTTATAGTCAATATAATAATTAAATTTTAAGGGCAATTTATACATAATAAATAATCAGTTATAACTTTTACCTATTTCATTGCTATTGTATAGAAATTTTGAAAATATTCGCATTTAGCATAACGCTGTTCTGGCCTCATCTACAAGCAAAAATGCGAAAATAGAATTGAGGATTTTATAAAACCTAAGTATTGTTGCACTTAGTCAATTAGTCTTGTAATTCAAATTGTTAACGAAGTGCAGCAAAAAAATAAACTATTAGTATTTACATATTATTACATAACAGATATTGTCTATGTAAGTATTGATTTGTACAATTTTCTATTTCATAAAGTATAAATAAGTATTATTAACATCGGAAATATTCTACAGGCATAGTAACTTGTCGGACACTACGTGTTACATCATGGATGACAAGAACTCCACGCATATTATATTCCAGACAACGTTTTACAAAGTCTTCCATAGTTCGAATCTCGATGTGTCCAAAAAATTTGTTAATTTTTTGTGAATATAAGAAATAATCTACCAGAAGATAAATCAAATAAATGATTGCATCATTATTGTATTATTTCCGTATTTTATATTAGGCTTAGATAAAAAATATCGATATATCAAAATATCGGTATTTTCTCATAAAATATCGACATATTATATCGTCGATATCTTTAATCGCGATATATCGATATTTATTTTGAAGTATCGAATTCGTATCAATTTCGATTAACCCTTCAATCTCTAAGCTGTCGAATTCGACCGCGGCGCTATTCCGTCAAAATTCAAGCGGTCGGATTCGACCGCGCACACCCACAGCACTTTAAACCATTAAAACTTGTATTTAGAGACTACATTTCTATGAAGAAGTTTGGCATCTAGTGCAATAAAAAACAGTTATCCTATGGATAATTATTTATAATCTACGTTCACTTCGTACGCCATTTTCGCGTGAATGTTAAATTTTGCTTTGTGTTAATTTTTGATTTTTCTAGTGCTTTAGTAGTGTTTTATTATAAAATTATAATGAAAGTTTTTGTGTGAATATAATTTATCTTTTTACGTAAATAATTTCGAGTAATATATATTGCAATAATTGTGATTTTCACGCTGCCGACATTCGCTTGGTATGTTTTGTTTTTGTTATCAAAATACTTGAGAAAAGTAACTAAATGTGGGCTAGTGCTTTAATACGGGCTAGTGAAAATTCTCGAAAACAAATAATTAAAAGGCGCTGCAAACGAATATCTCCTATTGCATTCATTAGCCCCAACACCGCAATCACTCTATCTCGTGAGTTCTGTGAGAGGTGAAGATAAGGTAAGACGTTGTTGCTTCACCGCCTTCAAAAAGTTTCGTAAGATAAGTAAAAACATGTTATTTCATCAATAATAATCAGGACTAAATAGTGTAACTATATCCTTTATTTGTAGAATATAAGTTTAATTTTATGTCTATCGGTAGATTAATTGTTAGTAATGTATGACTTGTGAAGTACAAGGTCAACATTATTTCATCCAAGAATTTTGAATATGGGCTATGTCTATGGCCTTAAATATGGGCTGGCCCATATTTAGGTACTAGTACTTGCGTAGTTAGAAATTAGTCTCTAAAGGTAATTTTTTTTCTAAATGTCACCGACGCAATTAAAAGAACCAAGTAAACATTGGGATGAAGAATAAATGGTTAAAGTAATAGAAGTGGTTGGCGAGAAGACAACAAAATCATCATCCAATAATGAAAAACCACCGAATAACTATCCTAGATTGCCCCTTTCACCTAAATCTTTGATTGCAATTCTTAACGAAGACAGTTTGATTTTCACCGAAGCATCATTCTCAAGGTTCTAGATCTGAAACAGAAAATAAATCTCAATTTGGACGTTCAACCTTAACATCCGGATGTGACGACACTCAAACAGAAGCATCTACTTCTAGAACTCACATGAATCCATAAATAATGGCGAAACCTCACCTTGCAGAATTGACCGCAGTAGTCTAGGCCTAGTATCTCCTTATGACATAAGTCCTGTACCAAAAAAATCAGAAAGATGTCTAATAGGGGTAGAGAAGCTGTGGCTTCTATTATAACTTCACCCCATAAAAGAGACCTTGTTTCAAAAAAAGAAGAATATTGAAAAAGAAAAGAAAACTAAAGATAAGAAAGTCAAAGTAGAGAAAACAAAACCGTAGAAATAACAAAAAACACCAGACAAGAAAACAACTAGTGACGATGAAGTGATTGACAGTGAAGGTGGAGAGGTTTTCCAGTTTGGTTCAGACTCTAAACCAGATATCATAATCGGCAAAGAAGCTCCTGATTCTGCAGATGCATAATGTATGTTCTGCCAGCAACTTTTTTCAGAAAATTCACGAGACTCTGGATTAAACTCTTGATGTGTGGGCTCTGGGCACATAATGGCTGTGCTGGGCCAGAATTTGATAGTTGGATATGAGACATTTGGATGTAAAATAATTCATTTCTTACTCTTACCGAAGTTAATTATTGATCCAGATAAGCATTTATGCTTATAATTTTCTTAAAAGATAATTAAGTTGTTATAGCCCATATTTGAGTACCTGTTCCATATTTAGTGCCAATTTTGCAATTTTGTTTAATGCTGAATTTTGATAGTATAGCTTAGTAGTAAAAACATAAGACTGCTATTGTGCTCTTTAAAAATATATGCCTGAATATTATAACATTAATATAAAGTTGATTTTTAAATGGTTTTTAATTTTTGACCTCAAAACAAAATGGTAGCCCATATTTAGTTACTCTCCTCTATAGTCTTTTTGTAATGAAGTAAAACCTAACTTTTATATAGAGAATTTTGTATAGATTTTATAATGTCTCTAAATGTAAGTTTTAATGGTTTAAAGAGAGTGGGTGCGGTCGCATGCGACCGCTCGGGACTTGACCGACGCATGCGGCCGCATGGGAATTTTAAGGGGACTGAGTGATTAAACTATTGTATTTATCGATAAAACAAACCCCGGTCGAGCCAACCCATTCGTGCTACAACCATAATATAACTGCAACGTGCTCTACCACGTATAAAAGAGTTACATATTACGATATTTTATCAATAGATTCCAATAAAACAATAAAATAAAACAAAACATACACAGTACTCAGGACTTTTATTATTATAAAATCAGTCGCAGTGTTCTGATGATGAAGGCTGATTTAGGCATAATGGAGATACAGAAAACAAAACAAATGTGTTACTTAGCCTTAACGACTTAATTTCAATGAATTTCAATTTGTGTTCAAATTCAATGCAACATAAATATTTTTTTGAAGTTTTATGGGATAATTTAAATTTAAAAGATAGAGATTTCCTTTTCGACAAGACTTCAATTCAACAATACAAGCGGCCTGAGGGACCATAAGGTAGAGATCGTTTAATTTAAAACTACACGCCTCCCCTGTAATTCTAGTAGATTTTATACCTATTATTATGTCAAATATAGTCACAATGCTAAAATCTACTAAAGACAATGAGGGGAGCGCGTAGATTTATTTTTGATACCTAATACGGTAAATGTGATAAAATCTGCCAAAAAATACAAGAGAAGCGCGTGAATTTTTAAACCCCTCAGACGGTGTTGCTAGATTTTAAACATTTTCTGAATTTTAAAGAAATTTTAGTAAAAAGCATGTATTTTAAATAACAATACCATTTTTAAATTCATTAATATGATGTTTTTGGTGATGTCCCTTTCAGATCGCATCTACCTACTTTCGTAACTTTTCAAAGGATCTGAGAACCCCGCGCTCTAGGACTGCAATCATATCGTACTACATTGTGTTCTACCTAACATGTATTTATATTTGCTTTGTGGCAGAGGTTGCAAAAGTGGGTTCCGCGGAACCTAAAGATTCCGTGCAAAAGACACAGGGCTTCCGTTTTTGCTTTTTAAATAATTATATACTTGGGTAAAAATATTATTTTGAAATAGTTCAAAATATGTGATGAGAAATACCCAAAAATTACTGTTATGTTTTCTTTTAAAATATTTTAGTTAGATAGATTTAGATAAAATTTTCACTTCTAAAATATTTTTACTAAAAGTTTTTGTTCTTATCTAAATTTCACTGTCTTTGATTTGTAATCAAGAAAATAAGTTTTACGTGGGATTCCATAAAATAGAAGGGATTTAGTGTTTCATTATATTATACGTTTGGAAACCCCTGGTCTATGGTATGGTATTAAATTTCTTTAAGGTTCAAAACCATTACTGAATTCTTAATAAAATGTAATTGGTTGGAAACTTTTAATTTGACATAAAACAATTTTGAAGCTTATATAATATCATGAAGACTTATCTCTATATTTATTATAAACACATTTGAAATATATTCTACAAAATGTTTAATGTTTATAAAACATTACGTAATGGCTCCTTCTCTTAAAAATGGAAGTAATATTGTATTAGATGAATAAAATTATAATATCATTTAATTCATCTAGATCATGGATAAATTTAACAAAATTACAATTATGCCAATTCAAATCGTCAATGATAGCAATTTGGATAGAGAAAACGGAAAGTTTCTTTGTAATGGATGTTTTAATACGAAAAGTGCACATTCCGACTTATCTATGCCTTTTAAAAGTAGACTATCCCAGTTAATATCAACGACCACCCTAAAAGAAAAGACCCCTCATCCGGCGCCCCATACCTTGTCTGTCATATAGAACGTTAAACCTATTGACTAGTTGGTTGATTGCGTTACAGCCCTTGGTAATTGTGCCCAGGTATGTCATGAGTGCAACGTCGTTGCATTGCTGAAAAAAAAATTAACTTCAATATCTCGTACCTTTTGACAAAACTATGTCAAAACGTACGAAAGGTGTACATATTTTATATCTAGCGGAAATTTCTTCTGAACATGAAATTGCACGACATAAAATTGCTTACCAGTATAAAATTTAATTAATAAAGCATAGCAAAGTAACTGCCTCCTACGGTGACGCATAACCACGTCTATAAGGGTGAAAAAGGAGCATACAGTCCATCCGATATTAAGATGATTCATAATCCTGGATTAAGAATCAAAATGCAGATGTGTTGCCACCCCCGAGGACTGCCTCGTTTCGAGTCAAAAGGATCTCCCGTTCTCTACGCTCACCATATGAAACACAGCAGCATTAAGCTACTAATTCACTCTGATATTCTGTGAGATCGTGGTACTTCCTGGGCCGGCTCAAGCCAACCCATTCGTGCTGCAACCATAATATAGCTGTACCACGTAAAAAAACTGCTACTGAGAACTTTTGGGCAGAAATATCCATTAACTAATTCGGGCCAAACCCGGCATTCGAACCCAGGACCACATTATCAGCAATCCTGCTTCCAACCACTAGACCAACAAGGCAGCCAACCTTATATTAAAACTAACCTTTATTACATTTCTATAGTCCCATATCATCATTCTCTATAGACTATCTCAATGGAGAAGTGGTTGTAAACGCGACTACTGATCATGAGGTCTACGGTTCGAATCCTGGGTCGGGCAAAAAAATATTTTTTTGAGTTTTTCTAACAAGAAATTCTTCGTAGCAACAGTAGCCAGAAGTCAGGAAGTTGGCGGTGTCTCACCCCCGTGCCTCGGAAAGCACGTAATGCCATTGATCCTGCGCCTGATCTCTCTCGTGACGGTTTACCATCCCAATGGACTATGGGAGTAAGGGAATAGAAAGTGCACCTGTGCTTGCGCATACACTGGGGTACTATAATTTTGTCCTGCCCCGATGGCTAGTCTCCGTTTTGACTTACCGCCGTGACCGAAATTCAGTCTGAAGGACATTATTAATTATTATAGTCCCATACTATATTCATATTAAAAAAAAATCTGTTGTACCGTACACTGCATATTGTATGGAATATTTTATCATTGATAAAAATGATCGAAGGGATTTATTAGTTTAATTCAATTAAACCAATGAAGTTACCCTGTATATTTGAGTTATGTTTCTTTTTCATTCTTCATCGGCCCACGAATAGTTTACTGACTGACAGAAGGATTTGCACCTATAGTGCTGCTCTTTGTCGTAAGTCTAGATGTTTTAAATGTGGCATATATGAAAATTTTAAACTGCTATCTTCAAATGATGATATATTTTCATCATATTTCCCACAGTAGACTTTTACAACACCCATGGGATGGTAAAGGGTGATAAATAAGAGTGAACGTAAGTAAAGTTAAAGTAAAGTTACAGCCTATATACGTCCCACTGCTGGGCTCAGGCCTCCCCTCATTTCTGAGAGGGTTTAGGGCAAGGAAGTGTCCGCCGCGCTGCCCAAATGCGTGTTGACGAACTTCACATGTCTTCGAAATATTTTTTTTTCTTATTCCTCAGACATGCAGGTTTCCTCACGATGTTTTCCTTCACCGCCGAGCACGTGGTAAATCAGCACTTAAAATTGCAATTAACAATTTCATTGGTGCCGGCGGGGATCGAACCCGGGTTACTCGCGTTCTGTTATATTTACAGCGAGCGTTAACCACTGAGCTACCACGGCCAAGTGAACGTAAGGCGAGATAATAATTCTCCTTATTTCTTTATCCACCTGTATAAATCCATTGCTGGATATAGGCCTCTCCTGTTGACGCGAGGATTGCCTTAATCGTCAGGGTTGGCAGGCAGGTTGACGATAACATTACTAGAACTCTTGCACCTTTGATGCTGCTACCCATCGCCGTAAACGAGATGGTAACACCCACTATACTTGTTTGTAATTGTTTTTATTAAAAAAAAAACTAGCAATAACATTACTAATATTCCCTTTAACCAATTATGGTAAGCTTAAAATGCTTGTGTTACTAGTAGTGGGAGCGGTCCATCCACGTCGAACCCACGACCGATTAAACTCCTAGCATTAGGCTACTTCTCTTACGACATCCATGGGACGAAATGACGTGAGGGTTTCTCTTATAGCAATTTTTTTTCTTTTTACTTAAAAATTGTTACTCTCTATTATAGTATTTTCTCCTGTATTATGGAGGTAGTTTACTAACATAAATTGCACAAGAACAAACATCAAGACCTGGAACAAACATACGTAGGGCGTATAAATACTCGTTCTGTGCGAGATTTGAACCCGCAGCCATTGCGGCACGGAGTCGTCAATATAAATTTACACTTAAAGAAAACTATAACCTATTTTTCGGTATAGCGTATTTCTTGACACCAATATAGGTACTATAAGACTCACGTTATAAAAGTGTGTGCGAAATTGCTGCGAAGTGAGTAGGGGCAAGCGATTGGATAACGCTCTCGCTTCCCGTAACAACGCCGGACGTGGTGGCAATGTGCCGTCGCGTATAGCGCGTACTGTCGCCAGCACAGCGCGGACTCGTGATACAAGCATCTTGATAGCAGACCGCTGGGCTGTTAAATGCTCAGCCACTATAAACAAATAAAATCACCAACTGAAACAAATGGCTGCGTTTGGCAGAAAAAAGCGCTAGCAAACGCTTGTAAACAAAATGGCGATCGTAAGAGGAAGCGCTGTCAAATCGTAAGTAGCTATTTTCCTCTTGGACACGAAGTTAGCTTTAACCGGGGAACATAACCTAATTTAAATATATGTAAAGTATTCATATTAAAAACTTACAAAACATGATTTTTTAATAACATGTATAATATGTTTATTCATGTCATTATATTTATATTACTTGAAACTAATATTGCACAAAACAACTTATAAACTCTACTTCAAAACAAACAAATTAAATAAGCAAAATGGCGGATTATGTCAGCGCTACTGAAGTTAGCAAACATGTCCTGGCCGAAAACTGTTTAGTTTCGCCATTTTCCATGCAAGCGCTTGCTAGCGCTTTTTTCTGCCAAACGCACCCAATATGTATGAGGTATTCGAAGTTGACAAAAACAGGTTGCAAAACAATTACTTTATTTTGCTTCTTTAAGCAAAAGCACCTTAATTCACTTTAAATATTACAATGCAACTTTACACGTCTTCCGTAGTCACCCAATCGCCATACGTTTTTTCTCTCCCTCTCTCATATATCCGTCTCGATCTTTCACTTCTGCATTCCTTTATATGCATTTAAAACTATAACTTCCCCATGTACATGTATATTGGTCATTTGTTTTGGAGATACCACTTAATTATCAGAAATTAAGCTTGCATTCATAAGTGTACATTCATATTAAGTTTCATTAATTCAAATTATAGATTATAACTAAGAAACGAAATGTACAAAATGGTTTCTTATTGAAGCAAACAATACACATTAAATAAGACCACTTTTACAGATTTTAGTACCAGTGTGGCACTACGATGAAGACTTAAATTTACTGTATACTCATTCTAAAGCTGTACCAGTAGATGTAAGCTATGGTAAGTACAACAAAAAATATCCCCCTACCATATCGATGCCAGAACTATTAACGGTTCAACTATGTTCTATAGTGAGTATGACGTTGGACCTTTTTACTGGAATTTCAACTCAGCATTTAGGTGCGACACATCTACATATTGGATCTCAATTGAGGTTCAAAATGCTTGCCATTATTTTCACAGCATGCGAGGAACACGGATTTAAATCCCAGTAAAATTATTAATAGCAATTTTAAGTGCTGATTTACCCTGTACTCAACATTGTGAGGAAACATGCAAGTCTGAAGAAATAATATTTTGAGGACATGAAGTCAAATCCACAACACATATCGGGTGGTGATTAATTGCTCCAAAATACTCTTAGGAAGTAAAGGACGCTTTCAGCGGTCCTTAAATATCAAAAAGAAACCACTGATTTTTTCATTATTTACACCAAAACTTCTATCTTACAAGCCAAATAAATTAAACTATTTCGTGTTTGATAAGTAATATGAGATTCAATTAAACGAAACTAACCAGCAGAAGGATTAAACCCAAAACAATTTAGAATCCCACAGATGGTTGCAAAACAAATGACGGTATGGGATCTGGCACTTTCTCAAAAGACCTCAATACCCACATATGTACACCACTGGGTACCCTCAACACAAGTCTTTCAGGCAGAATGTATGGGTATGATCCAAGCGGCTATAGCAATAGATGACAGGAAGGTAAAAGACTTCTCCATCAGAATAGTTACCGATAGCATGGCAGTCCCAAAGCTCTGAGTTGCAATGTGGTGAACTCGGGACTAATATATGAATGCCATCAACAATTAAATAAGGTATGTAAACACAACAATGTGACTCTGCAATGGATCAAGAGACTCAGTGGATCCAAGAGCAACGACGCAGCATATGAACTGGCCAGAAGAGGATCTGGTCTGGCCACTATAGGGCCAGAACCAATCATACCAATTCCATTTGGAAATTTTTGCTCGGTGGTACACTCTCAGCTTTGGAAAAATCTAGTAGACTCTAGGCAGGCTAAGGAGGCCCTGCATGAAATAAAGTTGTTTAACCAAGGTCTTAAGGAGATTGTATAAGCCACAGATCAGGATAGCAACAAGTGCTATTACAGGACATGGCTCTTTTGCCAAACATCTATTTACTATAGGTGTTACAGATAGTCCCCAGGGCATGTATGGGGAAGAAAACGACGGCCCATGTATTACTGGCATGTCTGAAGGTCACTGCGTTCGCCCTGTAGAACTGTTGTGTTTTGAACGGACTGTTGAATTTCTTCGGGGACATTTCATGGCTCGAATAATTACATTGTTCCTACCCACACACAAAATACGCGTGGACATTAGACATGAAGTTACAGAAAATAGCCAGTCGTAATCTATCAATATGTAACACTGAATTAAATTTTTTTTTTAAAAATACTTTATTTTGGATATAAGCCCATATGTGTATGAAACACCTGTATTAAATATTTAGTACTCTAAAAAATTAACATGCAATATATTTCATCAAAAAAATTAAATTTTACCTAAGCTATTCAATGCAGCTTCGCCTGATGAAACCCTGGCAACATGATCTACACCAATTCTTTCTGCTTCCTCAGCTGCTAGTGTGTAAGTAAGGGGAGCAAGAAGCATAGTTGCCCTTCCATTTACAACATCAATAACAGATTCATATAACACTACTGGTAGTTGCTGAAAAATATTGTTTTGATACAATTAAGTTAAACAAGTAAGATGAAATAATAAACCTACAGACGCAAGCTAAATTAAAAATTGTTTTAATGATTTTACAGTGACATCTGATTGTGTACTTGCAATAGCTTTTAACAGAAAATATTGATAAATTTACTATTCAAATTAACAAACTGGAGAATATTAGTGTGTCTATTGGAGATTAATGGCTTTAAGACAATTTTTGTGTTAATAACAAGCAACAATGAGCAAAAGGCATATTTTTGAAAGGATATGATGAGTAGTGTTAATATGAATTTCATTTATGGTGAAACAGTTTTATTCTATAAACATTAATAATTACAAAAAAAAACTTACATCACCATTTCTTCCAGCAGGATTAAGCATTAGCATAACAGGACATTCATTAATATCACAAATTTGTCTATGGACTGCAATATCACGCTCAGTTGGTGTATCCCCTGTAGTATACCATCCAAGGAAATCCATGTCAGAAAACACTTGCTTGACTGAAAATTATTGAAAGGTATATAAGACGTAGGAAAGGTATATAAGCTTATTTTTGACACAAATATTTTTGTGAAATTTCATACAAAACTGATCATAGAAGTTTTTACATTATTTATGTTATTATTATTATTTTACATTATTATTATTTCGATAAAATTAAAAGTAAATTGAATATGGATAATATGTATACCAGGTATTTAAAGCTGGTTCTTCCAATTGAATAAAAAAGAGCTTTAATTGAAATGTTTTTATTTAAAAAAAATACTTACATTGTTCTTCTTTCAAATTATAGTAATCTCTATCAATAATAATATCACCATCAATAACACTAAATACAAGTTCAAAGGAATTCATAACCTCTATGTTGCGACCTTTTTGTTTACCGATGAGAGCACCAATCACTAAAATACAAAAAGAATATAATGTTAAAGTTTCAGAATAGGTTACATTACATATATGGAAGAAGTAAAATTTGTGAGCTAGTGAGCATTATAATATAACTAGCGATTCACCCCAACTTGAATCTTGACAACATATGCATGTATTATACTTATAAACCTTCCTCTTGAAGCATTTTATAGCATAAAGATAGTGGGAAGCAACTTTATATTATACTATGTATGCAGTATCATACATAAATATTTTTAAGTATTTTATAAAAATTGTATTTAGTAAAACATGAATTTGTGTATACATATTTGTACAAGTAAACCATACAAAGTCCAGTTGGAGCAGGAAGAATTTTGTCCCTCTTTGCCTACTGACGGTGGTCACAAACATTTTTATGTTAAGTGCGGTTTATATGAAATATTTGAAGGAGAAAATTTACTTTAACAGTTACAAAAATTGAGTTACAATTACTAATTTGGCAGAAACAAATAAATAATATATGTATCTAGGGTTGCCACCTGTACTATAATATATAGTATCATACTATATTTAAGTCAATTGTACCATATATTATAGAAAAAAATAAAGTAAAAAAAAATATAATGATTTCTTATATTTACGCGAACACTATACATTGATTAAAACTACTTTTACGGATTTTATCGCGTTTTATTTATATTAATTTTAATACCCGACGTTAACCTGCTTGTCAAGTTGGCAAAAATAGTAAATATCTTTCCCTATGAGACAATCTATGGGAAGGCGTACGTTCAGCAGTGGTTTTTGAAAGGCTGTAATGGTGTGACATACAACAGTAATTTATAGAAGTGTGTTATAATATTTACAATACTTACCGGTCTGTGGGGATCCTTCTTGAGCACGCAGGCGAGTCCAATGTTCTGACACATTCATAATGACTAAAGGATGTAGAGACACCGTAACGGAGCCTGCAGTAGCGGTAGTCACAACAACACTTTTATTACCGCCAGGTGTAGGAGGAGCAGGAGAAGTCGGATTTGGAACATCTACTGGAGGTCCGGACGAAGCACTCTCTACCTCCACCTCCATTTCGAAGTCAATTCTGTCCGCACTCGTCATATCACCTGTGTTTTATTAGATGATAGTTAGGTTAGTTAAGCCTGTATACAGTTATTTTAGTCTTTGATATTTATGTTCCTGAAACGGGGAGAAAAAGGACAAAAATTATTTTATTTAATTTGTGGATATTTAGGTAATATATTTCAAAAACATAGAACATACCTACACTGTTGTTGTTATTACGATTCACAGATAACTATTAACATCGCTATATCGTATAACGTATAGACACTAGACAGTCTCTGTCTACACTCTACAAAGTACATACCATACAAACCGTAGACAGAGAAACCTATAGACAAATTGACGCCTTTTTTCGCATTCGCACACGAAAAAGATAGATTTATGCATACGTCTTCATAGAAATGAGATAGTGCGGTGTGATTGTTTGCCCCTTTCTCCGTGCTGGTTTTTTTGTTTAGCAAACTCTACAGTTTGCTAAACAACTTTAACAGCGTAGTGATTTAAGGAGTTTACAAGTTGGTTTAAGTAAGAAAAAAGTGTTTTGTGAGCTTAAGATTGGTGAATCTTGTTCAGTTCAGTTCTTAGAACAATTAAAATTTTTATCTAAATGTGTTTAAAAGTGTAGCATAAAGATTATTGTATAACCTAAAAATTCGTTACCGTCCTTTCTCACTCGAGGCCACGCCGATCATTAGTCTATAGGTTTCTCTGTCTACGATACAAACTATATACTAGTCAGAGATTACGATTATACTTCGTCTATGGTTATGTTATGACTAAAGCTGAGAACAAATTAGACGTGGGTCGTTACGTCATTTTCAAGAAACGTAACGAAACCAGTGACTTGATCGGCGTCACCTGTTTCAAAACTAGTGATTTTTGTAACTGACTATTTTTATTCGGCTACTGTGATTGTTTGCATAAATATCACCACCAACTATACAGTTACACGCGAAACGAAAATAAATTTAATCACAATCTGTGTTTGTAGCTATACAGTAACTGTATACTGTTAAATGAATAAATTTACTTCCCTTCATACTTTATTCAGGTTTAGGACTGACTGCATTAAATGTATTTATGATTGATTTGCGTTTACTATGACACTAAGATTTTCATAAAATTATTAATACAGGCATATTTAGAAGTCAATTTGATTGTATATACAATGATTATTGATATTTACAGTTTATTTACACTGTTTCAACGTATTTACTATAATTTATTTTTGCACTTTTATTTACACTGTACAATTAATTTGTTTGTTTGTTTGGCTATTTACACACAGTTTTTAAGTTTTATAATATTACAAACATTTAAATTTTTTATACACATTTTTTAGTTTTATTTTAATTTTATGTATAAACGAGTTCATGACTCCGTCAAAAATGTTTTAAAAATTATTTTAGTTATACTCAATGTGACTCGCTTCCCGGAATCGCAAACCGTTGAATTTATTTACAAACAGAGATTACTCTATTTTATTGGCTATGTCTAGTCTTTCGTATGAAAATTAAACGTAAGAGTCGTTTTACATTAATATCATGGATCCAAGTACTCCTTTTCACTATTTTTAGGAGGATAACATAAAACAGCTGCCGCTAATTTTATAGATTCATCCTCGATGTCGCTGCTTGTCATATTTCTCGAATGACAAATCTTTATGGAATGACCGAAGCGAGGCGTCCGAAGACGCCGTCTCGACTACCGTGCACACCGCTAAGCCGCGGCTGACGGACACGTCTGATAATTTTTTCTCAGCTTTACGGTTTGCCAATTAAGACAGGCAGAAACCTTAGATCGTGCAGCCTAGTTTGATGTGTATATTAATCATAAAATTCTTCACTAAATGCTGATGCGGCTTTGCAAATTGCCTTAATTTTAGGAGATTTTGACAAGAGTTTACCCAGTGCATATATAAATTTTTATGAAATTATCGTTTCATTTAGCTGTACTAACACGATAGAGCGTAAATAAAGCTAATTACGTTGTAAAAAATGATAAGTTTTGCATCGGGGTCGATTTTATTTGAGTCTCATCATCAAATGTATCCTTAATACTATCGTCTGTATTCGTTTTCGGCAGCGTTACAAAAATACCCTGTATATATACAACGTGGCACTACAATGATGACTTTAATTTTACATACGGGTAGGGCTAGTGCCCATTAATCATATTAATTTTGTTAGGTTAAAATAACTGGTAAATTGAAAAAAAAAATTCTACCAAACTAAATAATAAATAAGTAACTTAAATTGGGATCACCCTTGCAAAAATTCATTCATGAAATAATCTAGGCAACGCGTCGATTTGCGAGATGGCAACCTCGCAACGCGTCTGTTACTTACTCGTGATAGTCCGTATCTACTGATGGGTTGACTCCCGCCAAACGACGAGATGGCAAAAGAGATAAGCATCACAGTGGTAAGGTTACCTACTTATCACTGTGAGCTTAACCCATTGAACTTGTATGGGCAGATGTGAAATGTACGTTGCACGAAAAAATATAACTTTACTTTACTTTTTTTCAAGTTAACAGATGTTAAAAATTTACTTAAAGATAGTTTAACTCAAACCACGCCAGATAAATGGAAAAACTGTGTTCAGCATGTCCTTAAGGTTGAACAAAAATACATGGCATGGAATTCAGCAAACTGCAGATCGCTTTATAATTAATGTTACAGACAGTTCATCTAAATACACATCAAGTGAAGATACGAGTGATGATTGCACCGAATAAAAATAAAGTTCTTATATAATATTGAAAATAATGTTTTATCTTTTGAATAAGTACGTACTTATTCGGTGTTGTTATCACTCGAATATTTATATGTGTTATAAATTAATGCCTTTTATTGTTAAATGAATAAAGTACTTTATAACAATAGATGATTTTTCTTCTACAGCGATCTTTTATGGGCGTTTTCCAAAAAAGTTGTACCTTGAAAAAAGTCAGTGTCCGGCCACTTTCAGAATAAATTATCAAATATTATAAAAGTTTTTATTACATATCATTTATTTTAATAATAAAGTAACATATAGTCTCATAAATCAAATAAAAATAAGGTCTGAATCTGTTATAAATCAAAAATAAAATCAAAATAAGTAAAATGGGGTCGATGTTTTTGGTATGTCCCACATCTACTGTGTCAACTTCAGAGTCACATAATACGGTCGTGTTATATTATTATTCAAACTTTTTGCATTTGACTGGTCATTTATGAACGTAACTTCAATTTTAAACCTGAAATGTACATGTTACGGTTGAAAATTATTTTAAAATACCAGATTTTGTGTTGTCCTGCAAAATCGCGTATGATGGAATTTCCGCGTACGTGACCGCATTTTCAACGACTTCCAACAAAAAATACCACCAATTCAATACATTTTCCCAAATATAGCAACATTATTAGTCTATGGTGGCTGCTGTATTTAATTTTTGACAGCCAGTTCGCCAACAAAACGTAATCGAAGTGGTCGTCTCGACTCATGTAAAAAAATAATTCCACAAACGATACTGCTTTTCTCCAGGTAACGTATTCATGTGTATTTCATTCTATTTTCTATTAAACATGTTAATTTATTGTTATTTGAAATGTTAAGTTATATTGAACAAAAGTTTGATAACTAATTAGTAAATTCATTTGAAAATTTTATTGGCATGGTTACGTTACCTCCATTAGCGCTACTATCGCATGAATGGAACTCAAAAGTGACGTAATGGAATCCTAAAGGTCGGTTCATAAAGTCATTGTTTTAATTAGTGTTCTAAAGTCTAAATAAATTAAGTATGATTAAAATAATAATAAAATGCCTTGAATTTTTTAAATGAATTGCTTATTACTTAATTTCGTGTGTAAATCAAACAAGATTTTTCGACTAGATATTTCAGCTCAAAACACTCCATTCAGGATAACATTAGAAAAATAACAGTGAAATAACGATAGTTATTACGTTATATTGTTGAAATGGCTGCATTTAGTGTTTAATTTTAATGGTATCCTGAATGAAAATTTTTTGTTTTTGCGTGAAAATATATTTGATAAACAGTTATCACATTTATTTTGACAAATATTTCACGCAACGCTTTTTGTAAATCTATATAAATTTTTTCACAAAAATTTGAGATTTTTCGTACGGGGTACATTATGATAACTCACTATTGATTTTAGGTTTAAATATGCCCTTGACGGCTGCAGAAAAGTCAAAACGGTACCGAGAAAAAATCAAACAAAACCCGGAAAAATATGAAGAATTTAAGAAGAAGGAATTACGAAGACAAAAAAAGCACCAAAAGAGGATTAAAAAGCTCACTGAGGACGAGAAAATGGAAAAAAGAAAACTCTGGAGAGAACAAAAACGAAAACAAAAACACTCAACCGAATCCACAATCAGGGCAATCACGTGACGCATCCAATAATTCAGCTCCACATTCATTGAAAATTAGGTACTGAAAATTGTTAAATAACTACAAAAAAGGCTTTCAAGACGATTCGTCAATATAATACAACAACACAGACTCTGAGAAAGAAATTACGCCGAATGAAAAAAAAAAACATGAAACCGAATTTGATTTATTGAACACAGAAAACGATAAATTGAAAGCAAGACAAGAAATAATGGAAATATCAATTCGTAGTACGTACAGGAATTGTAAGAAAAATAAAGAAAAACAATTAGTTAAAAACGTGATTAGGAAACAGGCGCATATATTGTAAAAAGCACCTGAAAGTAAGATTTTAGGTCTTAAAGAAAGAATCAGGAAAAGGATTAATTTACAACGACCAATAAATAAGAAGACTCAGGAAGAAATAGAACTTTTTTATTTGAGAGACTACATAAGTAAAAGCACAGCTGGTAAGAAGGAAACCAGGTCCAAAGACAAACAAAAAGCACAAATAAGATACTTAGTCGACACACTGAAAAACGTATACGAAATTTATAAAAAAGACGGTGGGTCATGCGGCTTCACCACCTTTTACAGATACAAGCCTTATTATGTACTG